ACGTCGCCCCGGCCCCGCGCCCGCCCCCTGCCATGCCCAGCCCAGCCCAGCGCTCGCAAGGGGACTGCAGGGCAGGGTCCAGCATGCAGCGAGGGGTGGGGGTGGGGGGCAGCCCTTGCTTCCTTAATGCTGATGCAGCTGTCGGAGGGCTCAGAGCTATCAGTCCCACCCCAACCGTGTGTGGAAGGACGAGCCACACGCCAGCCTGGCTCATGGCACCCTGCGCCGCGTGGAGCCCGCTGGTGCCAGCAGAGAGGCCGTGCAAAATGCCTGTAAAGAAGCCTCACCCCTGGCTCTGTGCCGGGGTGCAGGGTGTGCCTGGTGCAGGGTGCATCCAGACAGGGCGGTGCTGTGCCCAACCCGGGGCCCTGGCACAGGCTGGCATGGACAGACGGAGCTACCAGGAGCAAGCGGGACCCTCTCTGTGCCCACCTGCCTGCTGCCTGCCCTGGCTGCGTGTGGGCCCTGGCTAAACCAACCCAGGGAGGGAGAACCGCTCCCGTGTGCAGGGGCGCGTTACCGTTGGGCATCTGGCAGGCCATGCCGCACGCCGTCAGGCAGCACTTGAGGTTGCCATTGCAGTTGCCGTCATCCTGGCAGCCCTCAGTGCAGTTTGCCGCCTCTTTGGCTTCGTCGGGGCACACGCCAGGTTTTGCTGCAATGGCAAAGGCACATGGTGCAAGGTGGGCTCCGTGGACAGGCCCCACAGCCCCACACGGATGCCACAACCTCTTAGCCCGCTCGTGCCGGCACCAGGCTCGCCTGGGCTAAGCCAGCATGATGGGCCTGTGGCCGTGGGTCCCGGCGTGGCAGGGGTGGGCGCTGTACTCACTGGTGGCATTCTGGCCGGTGGCAGGTGGCAGCTGGGCCCCGAGTGCCAGGAGCCCCAGCAGGAGCAGGAGCAGGAGCAGGGGGACACGGCTGCCCGGGGGCATGGTGCTGCGTGCGCGCCGCCCCGGCTGGGCTTTAAGCTCTGCCTCAGGTGGGGCCGGAGCAGGGGAGGGAGGGACGGGCTCCCAGGTGATTTACAAGCAGCCGCCGTGCGCTCCCCCCGCGGTCCGTTGCACAACCGGCGGCCGGGTATCAGATGTCTGCGCTCGCCCGCCCGCCGGAGAACCAGGAAGTGCGGCCCAGCATCGCCGGCCGCAGAGCTGGGCTGCAGCCCGGCCCTTCCCTTTCCCCCTGCGGCTCCGGGCCCCTGGCAGCCAGGGCAGGGAGTGCCCGGCTGCTGGGCCGCTGCGAGGGGGCACTGGGCTGCAGCCCAGCTCGGGGCATCGTCTGGGGACAGCAGGTCTGCCCCTCTCCGGCAGCGATGCCCTGCGCTCACCGCTTCCCTCCAGCCGCATCACGTCCCCATCTGGCCGGACCTCGCGCCCGCCCCAGGCCTGGCTGCGGCTCTGGCCTGGCTGCGGCTCCCAGCCATGGCTCCTCTTCTGCCTTCTCCCTCTGATGCGCCCCTGCGGCCCCAGCCCGGGGTCTTGATGATGTGCCCTCTCCATCTCCCATCGGGCACTTTCGCAGCCCTCGGGGCCGGGCAGTGGCTTCGCTGCGGCGTACCAGCACCTCCTGCACAGCCTCAACCACATCACCGCTCTCCACGGGGCGAGATCGCCTCCTTGCCTCTCTTCTCCCACATCCGAGGGTCCCTCCGTGGCCATTCTTGGCAGCTCGCAGTCATGGCATGTCCACCACGGCCCAGGTTCTTCTTGGGTCCCTGGCATCTACGGCAGGGTCCGGTCTCTGCACGTGGCTGGCTCTCCCCGTGCCCAGATGAGCTGCGTGACCCTGCGCTGTGTCTGCCGGGTGAGCTGGACCGTCCCAAGCAGCCCCGTGCGCTTGCCCCGTCCTGCTCAGACGACGATCTGAACAAGCTGGAGGCCTGGTGCCATGTCACTGCCAGGGAAACCGAGGCACAGACACAGACCGACTTGCCGGGACCGTGCTGGTCATGGAAGCAGCATCTGCTCCTGGCCCGAGTGCATCTCCCTGGGGCAATCCCTCCATGGCGCCGATGGCTGCGGCACACCCAGGGTGTGGGGCGAGCTCCATGTGTGCCGGGGTAACACAGCGCTGGCCCCCTCCGCCCTGTGTGTGCGCACAGGGAACCCGACTCCGTGGTCAACACGGAGGCAGGTAGGGCACGTCTGTAAATGATCACCTGTTCGTCATCCCACCTGCGGCGCACGGAGCCCGGCGGGTGTTTGTGAGGCCGGAGGCCAGCGCTGGCACCTGGGGGTGGGGGCGGGGGGGGACATGGACTTGGGCTGCACTCTGGAGAGGGCTCCTCCACTTCCCCGCACCATGCTGCCCTCCAGTAAACCCACTGCCGGGCAAGCAGTGTCCCCAGCAGCATGGAGGGCCCCTGGCAGGGTGGCACCAGTGATGGCAGTGCGAAGGGGTGCTCGGCTACACGCACGGTGGGAGCCGTGGCTTGCACTGGTTGCACCGCTGCATGCCCACATGATGATTTGCTGGAGCTGTGGCGGACATTGGCATGTGCTGCCCCCCTGGAAAGCTGAGCTCTGGGCCACCTGCCTGTGCCAGTAGCAGGGGCCCGGCACTCCCTCGCTCTGGGGCCTGGCCTGGGGTGCAGCTCTTGGGCCCCCTCCCCTGTGCCCCGCTCCCATCCCTCCAGGCTCGTGCACCTGCAGACAGGTGCCACCTGCACCCCCGCGGCCAAGGGGGTGCATTGCTGCGAGCTCTCGGCCCGTGTCACACCACAGCCCTGCGAGAGCGCGGTGGGGATGGAGTTGCGGGAACTGGTCTGAGCTGGTTCCCCTGGCTCCGGGGCCTCCTGCGCCGGCCGCCCAAACGAGTCGGCTGGGGGTGAAGGAGGAAGAGCGCGGGGATGTTTGCTCAGAGCTGCAGAGTGCCTGGCACAGGGCTGCTCCACCTGGGACGGGCCAGGGGCTGTGGCTGCAGCTGTGCACGCAGTCGCAAGCAGAGACATGCAGCCCTGTCCATCCAAGGGCCCTGCAGCCCCCAAGACGTGGCCCAGCCCTTGGCTTGCCCTCAGGTCCCAGGTGCTCAGACACATTTCTGTCTCCTCCCTTAGCGGCAGCACATAGCGCTCAGGTTAGCCGAAGGCAGCAGCAGAGCCCTGCCCGCCCGAGCTGTGCCTGGGCGAAGTGACTGGGCAGAGAGCGGGTCCTGCAGACATCGCTCTCAGCAGGCAGGGCTTGGGGCTCTCCAGACCGGACGGCCCTTGCCTCGGCCCCGGGGACGCACAGGGCTCTGCTAGGGAAGGCTTTGAAGCCCAGGTGCCGGGGGACTGGGGGTGGCAGGAGCCAGCCCCAGAGACCTGCTGCTCGGGGGGCAGGGGCCCCGGGGTGCCCTGCATGGTGGGGCCTGCGCCCCGCGGGCACCTCTCTAGCATTATAGCTGCGGCTTTCATCTGTGCTGCCATTGCCTGGCCTTCGCCTTGGAGGCTCATCTCACTCCCCATCATTGCTCTCATCTCCCCCCGGCTCTGCTGGGAGGATTTCCTCCCGTGACACGGGCTGGAGCACAGGACAGCCCAGAAGCAGCTTGGCTGGAGGCAGCAAGGAGACCAAAGGGCAGGCTGGGGTCTGGGGACAGCCTGTGGCTCCGGGGCTCGGGGTCCCCTCTGTGACGCTGCTGGGGACCCGGCTGCACGCAGCGAGGCCGGAGGCTGAGTGGACGCGTGGCCCCGCGTGCCCCGCCACGCTCCCTCCACCTGCCCGCGTCTGCAGCTGTTTGCATGGGGTCAAGGGGACAGCGTGACCGTGCTGCCATGGCCCGTTCTAGCTCCAGCCACCTCCAGCCAGCCACAGCCTTCACGAGGAAGTGACTTGCTGGCACGGGCCCAGAGGAAGGAGCCTGGCATCCCACCTGGCACGAGGCATTTGCGCTTGGGGGCTGTGACGTGGCCAGCGAGGTGCACCTGTGCTGATGCCCCCCCACCCCGGGGTCTGCTCTGCCCGCGGGTGCTTGTTGGCTTGGGAATAGCCGGGGAGGGGGGTTGTTCTCCTGGGCTCCCCAAGACCTAGTGCTGCATGTGCTGCCTGGACCGCTGCATGGTCCGCGGTGCCGCAGAGCCGATGGGGCATCACGGGCACCCGGCGCACGAGCCCTGGAGATGTGCGGCACGGGGCAGCTCCCCGGCAGGCACCAGCACGGTGGTTGGGGTCACGCCGTGGCAAGGGGGCTGTCAATGATTGCCAGCCGCAGCTCCCCTAACAGTTAGGCCCACGCCGGGCGGGACGGGAGGGGAGGTGGCCCCAGGTGAGCTGAGTGGACCCCTGCATGGCCACAGTGCATGGCCACGGTGAGGGGGGACCCCAGGGGATACTTACACTCACGTCTTGGGACGAGTCCTGCTCCAGGATCCAGCGGCAGCGCGTCCCCGAGCACGAGGAGCCCCGCCAGGACAAGGGTGCCTGCCAGCATCGTGGTGCGGTGGGAGTGGGTCTGAGTGCCGGGCCCCACCGGCCTGGCATTTTAAGCACTCCCCAGGGCTGGGCGAGACAGGGGAGGGGCTGGTTGGCTCCCGAGTGACCTTTGGGTGCTGCGCCCCAGGCGGCACCCACCCTCCGCCACCTTGTCCTCTGAGCAATCATTTACCTTGGCACCGCCCCAGCCCGGCATTGGGTCTGCAGCTGGGTAGCGGGCCTGGGGGTGGGAAGGACCAGGGGGGACCCATTCTCCACGGTAAGCGAACATGCGGTGCTTTCATCACCCGAGCGTGGCGCAGCCGGAGCCCAGCTGGGACCTGCCGCGGGCTTTTGCAGCGCCCCCGTGCCATGCTAGCAAACACCTCGTGCCCCGGGAGCCCTCGCTGGCTTTTGCCCATCCCAAAGAGCCGGCCTTCCTCCCAGCTGGGGCAGAGAGGGGGCCAGGGGCCAAGCCAGCCAGGTGCCCTCTGTGCCTGGGCAGCCCAGCGCACCGTGGCTTTGCCCCCTGACACCAGCCTCTGCACCCTCTCCGTCCTGCTTCCCAGGCCTTCCCCAGACAGCGTGCCGCCCTGCCCTGCCCTGCCCTGCCCTGCCCTGCCCTGCTGGGACGGGACGGGACGCGGAGGTGCCTGCGGGCCATCTGGCTGCCTGGGGGTGCGGGCCGGCCGGGAAGGCGTGGGGACGTGGGGATGTTTGCAATAGTTCTCAGGCCGCTGTACGTGACTCGGTTTCCCTGCGCCCATCGCAGGAAGGAGTTAACCCCCCTCGGGGTGCGGCAGAGGGGATGGGGCTGTCACGTAGGCTCCTGCAGCTGACTGGCACCTGGGGGGGCCGCCAGAGACGCAGGCCACGCCGTGAGCAGGCCACGGTGTTGGGACGGGAGAGAGGGAGGAAGCCCGGGGTGCGGAGGGGCAGGGACAACCCCTGCAACCCCCTGCTGCGCGCACGGCTCTGCCGGGCAGTGGGGCTGGTTCTGGGTCTCCAGCCTGGCTCAGTGATTGCCCGTGCTCTGGGCAGGAGGGCCCCCAGCTCCTGGGGATGATGCCGGTGTTTCCCTTCCCTTCCCTGGGTGTCCGCTTGGGGTCGGGCGGCGCGACCGTGCCCCCTGGCAGTGTCTGCGTGCCCTGCCCCAGGGCCGGGGCAATCGCGGCTGCTGTCCGAGGGCCAGCCGTGTGGCACCCCTGCTGCTGGCCTGGGTGAGGGGCAGTCTGAAACTGGCTCTCCGCCCCGTCCTGTCCTGACTCAGGCCCCCACCTGCCAGGCCCCTGCGCGTGCTCTGCTGCGGGCATGCAGCCGTCGGCAGGATGCCGCTGCCCGGGCTCTGCCATGCTGCCATCTCCCGCTCGGTGCCACAGGTTGTGCAGCCCCTGCCCTGCCACCCTCCTGCCAGGCCTTTTCCTCTGGGCTTTGCTGCCCCTTCCTCCACCCTGCAGCTTTGCCAGGACAGGCAGTTTCTGGAGGGTGGCACAGGAGCAGGGTGGGCTGCAGACTGCCGCTCTGCTCCTCTCCCAGCCCCCCGCACTTCTCCTGGCCGCTGGATCCAGGCTGCAGGGGTGCAGTCCACCCCCCCGGGATTCCTGCTCCTTGCCAAGTCTAAGCCAAGCGCCTGGGGGCAGCAGCGGGGGTTGAATTCAGGCAGCCTCGGGGTGACTTCAATGGACTTCATGGCTCATTATCCTCCACCTGGTCCCTTTTACACTCTCCATTGCACAGGGGTTAAGGACCTGCTTGCCTTTCTTAATGCTCTTAATGTTCCGCTAATTAAGCTCTCCTTTCTTCTGCAGCTCTGCAGCCTGAGAGCTGCTCCTGGCAAGGTAGCTCCTATGTCACAGCCCTGCAGCCTGAGTTCAACGCTAGCAAAAAAACCATTAACTCGGGCGTGGAAATAACTTTCAGCGAAGCAACGGATGCAGTGTCAACACGCAGAAGACGGCTTGACACTGTTTAATGAATCTGAAAAAGAGATGTCCACTTAGTGCTAATGACCACAGGACTAATGAAACAACAGCTTTTGATTTTTTTTTGCCAAGTGTATCGTGCTTTTTTTTTCAATGCAATAGATGAATTAGCAAATTTATATTTTGCTTTTGTTCCGCTCTTAAATGGAAGAATAATACACTGAATAATAAGAGCCCTAGGCTAGCAGCTTATTCGTACAGCTTCTAGTTTCATTTTAACTTGAGAAAAGTATGCCTGGTGTTCTGTGTGAGGAGGCACACATCATCTGCACCCCCCCTTTTCAAACCCTGGGGTCTACCCATGCTCTATCTGCTCTTCCTGTGCCCAGGGACGCCTCTCTGCCAGGTGCTGGGAGCAGGCAGGTGGAGGCAGTGCTGGAAGTGGGCACACGTGTCCCTGAGGAGAGGGCCCCAGACTGAATAAGGACACAGAGCTGCCATTTCCTTGGTCACAGCATGGGTCCATCCTTCCCAGTCTCCTGCATCACCCGTGTTGGGGACCTTC